GAAGGAAGGAAGGAAGGAAGGAAGGAAGGGAAGGAAAGGAAGTGGAGAGGAAGGAAAGTACAAGAAAGGGAGAGAGGAAGGAGAAAAAGAGGAAAGAAAAGAGGAAGACAACATTTCGGTCTATGTACATGTTCTCATTATACCAGTCTTTAATGTTAAGTCATAATAAACCAAACAACGATTAAAGCATATCCTCTTACATTCCTTCCAGATGCCGAACGGTTGCCTTGGAAACAGGGATGCAGAACACTCAGCTGTGCTCCACCATTGTGCAGCTCTCCTTCAGCCAGGAGGATATCAACCTGGTCTTCACCTTTCCACTCATCTACACCGTCTTCCAGCTTGTCTTTGCAGCGATATTATTGGGAAGTAAGGAACAATGCTAATCAAATTTCACTATGATGCTCTTTTGCAGAAATCCTGGAATGGCTAAATAGTCTTTTTAAAAATTCTGTTTTGTAAAGAATATTTTTCAGAAAAATGATAAAGAATATTTATCAGGTAAAGTTGTAAGGCAGATGTATGTGCGTTAAGCTTGTGCATTCTGTTTTAAGTATCTATATAATTCAAAAAGCTTAAGTAAAATTTTCCTTTATTTATAGTACAATGATAGTTGGCCCGATTCTTAATTTTACCCTGTGATAGCATAAATTCCACCCTCTCTCACTAGGTCCCCGATGACTGACCTTCACCAAACTGAAACTTTTCCCTGCATTGTTCTTTCCAACACCTGATGATGCTTAACCTCCTTTTTAAGTCCTATTTAAAATAAAGAAGCTGCCTTTTAAAGCTTCATAGTATTTTAATGGGAAATGGAAAGTAAAGGTGTGTGGGAAAAACACTGTGAACCTTAAGTTATAAACAGCCCAGAGCTATAGTTTGTTTTGCTTTGCCTTGTTGCGCTCCCCAGCTGTAATACATGCTGAGGGGATGACAGTCACCTACCAGTGCCCCTTAGTGTCATGTTTCTGGCAGAGCCTACTTTTTAGAATACAAGTCTCACATAGCTAACAACATCACACTGGTCCATCAGGGGTCCATGTCTATAACATAATTTCTTTTCTTATATAATTATCTTTTTGTTGTGTAATGGTCTGCCAGAGTTGGTGCACTGCAGGATTGTGCCATATAATTAGCTAGTAATGTCTACCAGACAAGCCAGGGAAACTCGACTAGATGATAAAATAAAGACGTGAACACACTAGCAGAGCAACTAACCCAGAAAGAATGGACTAATGAAAGATCGAGGTGAGGGAAGGCAGCATTAGAATTGGTCAGCTTCAGTAGGAAATGTGGCAGCAAGCAAGGCATCTTTATTAAGAATACATAACACCTGAAACATTTGGGTGATGTATGAACAGTCCAAATGTTTTGCTGTTGATGATGTTGTTGTTGTTTTAGAAAAAGGATAGGAAGGTCTAAAAGCAAACTAAGGAAGTAATGGAAGAAGGTAGAAAGGATGGAAGAAGGAAAGGAAGAAGCCAGATGTATAGTCCAACGAAATAAAATCATTGGCCTAAGTTGAGCTTAGGCCAAAATAGCTTCTAATAAGTGTTGCATCTTTAAACTGATCACAGAACCAACTAAGCTTAATAGCAGAGTTCAGTTGCTTCTAATCTAATTTCTAAAATAAAAATTATTTTTAAATAATTACTAGAAATGTAGAAACTAATCCAAAGTGTATATTGATCTGGACTGGCAAGATCTTTGAAGTAGGACATTGTTTCTCTCAGCTATCTCACAATGACAGTTGGCATTGACTAAACTCTTAATTGTATCTCCTTGAAGGGCTCACAATTGCCTGTGTGGTTAAATAATGTTATGGTAGCAGTTTTATGTGGAAGCATTAGAATTCGAGGAGTGCAATAAATAATACCTTATCATGCCTTGTTGGCTTTGGAACTAGTTGAGAGACAGAAAAAAAAAAATGTATACTTACATAACACTTCTTTTTGCAAAATAGCACTTTTCCTACAAAGCGTAATTAGAAAAAAAAATGTCTTAAATCTACAATCAAATGTGTCTTAATACCACCTTCCACACCAGTGTTGGCTACATGTTCAGAAACACGTACACATATGTACATATAAGCTGCGAGTTTCCCCTTGCAGAACAGAGCCTGTCTTGATGAGTTGACCTCAATACTAAGCTGAGAAAAAGGGCTGGAGAGCCAGATCAGTGGGTATAGTGCTTGCCTCATAAGCATGAGGACCTGAGTTCAATCTATAAAACTCACATACAAAAGCTAAACATAATGGCAAGCACTTGTAATCTCTTCACTGAGCAAGTACAGATAGGTAGAGCCCTTCCTTAAGCTTGCTGACCAGCCAGCGTAGCCTAATCAGCAAGTTCTAAGTCAAAGGAAAACACTGTCCCAAAAAGCAAGGAATGTGGCTCCCAAGAAACAACATCTGAGGTTGATCTCTGGTCTCCATATTAATGCATGCACATGCATGTGCACCTGAATACAAACACGCACTTGCACACATATGAGCATCATGTGTGTGCGCATGCATGTGTGTGTGCGCACACAGGAAAATAGAAGTTAAGAAGTAGTTGCACCACAGGAGAAAGGAAGTTTGATTAACCTCAGGAAAGGTGAGTGAATACTAAAGACCAGGCGTGTTACTCTGACTGAAGTCTTTCCACAGAGGATGATCAGGCCCTGAACGTTGCATCCAAACAATACAGTGTATTTATTGAAGACTGGCATATTAACTGGGGTGAGCAGGCACAAAATAATTTCTTCTTGTTCTTACTGCTGGGTACCATATACATGAAGCTCTGAGAGGTCATGTAGCCATGTGAAGCAAATGTCCCCTGAAGCTCCACACCAGGTCTTCCTGAGCCACAGGCATTGCTGCCATGTGTGACCTCAGAACTAAGATGTGATTCTCTCAACACCCCCCAATCCATAGAAAATGCAAACTGCTTCCTGAGTCATATAATTTAATCATTGTTCGAAGTAATTTTTCAGGTTGTCATTATGAAATGTACTCAGCCTCCTGTCTATTATTTTCCAGTTTATGTTGGATACAAGAAATGTTGTGGGAAAAATAATGCAAACTTTTCAGAAGAAAAGGAAAAGGAACCCGAGTCATCGTCTCATACGACGAATGCAGGATTTCAACCAGATGAGAAGTAAACACCAAGTGCACAAAAAGAAAGATATTGAAGAATAGCCATAAGACTACAACTATATTTAATTATTTTTTTGGTGGAATGGCCAGCAGAAAAAGTTAAAAAGTTAAATTTCAATGGGACTTACATATTGGCTTATGTACAAAGTAACTGCTGATCCTATTCTTCAGTGTGACAAACATCATTTCAAATATGTGTATATATGTGTAAACACAGATATCATCATTATCATCATCATCATTATCATCATCATATCTCAGTATCAGTGGGAGATGGGTATCAGAATTCTCCTTAGTACCACAGATGCTCAAGTCCTTTCCTACCATGGCATAGTGTTTACATTCACCTCTCATATACTTCAAACTATCTCCAGATTCTCCATATACCTAACATGATATATGCTGTGTAAATAGTTGTTTTACTGTATTGTTTAAGAAATTGTGATAAGAAACAAAGTTTATTTTTGAGATAATTTTGGTTCACAGTTGGTTATATCCACAGATACAGAATTCATCCGTGGAAGGCCAAATACATATATGTACAGACTATGTATATACATACATACATACATATACACATACACATACAAACATACATACATACATATACTATCATTGAAATAGTCTCAAAAAATATCTGCAGATCTAACTGAATTTAGGTAGCACTGAAAACTTTATAATATGTAAGCTGAACTCAGACACAAGCCCTTTTGTATGTTAAAAACAGATTATTCTTGTAATATGTTGCTTTTCTTCAGTATTTATGATTGTAAAAAGACTAACATGAATTAATGTATTCCTCCGACATTTTAATCAATATTTTGAAAACTTTACAACCTATTTATTTACATGTGTGTTATAGTATATGATGGGCAAATATCTGACTTCCTGTTTAAAAAAATCCTAGCTGCTCCTAATGACAATTCAAAAGCAGAACTGAAAGTGTTACTGATTAGAATTCAATAACAAATTGGAATCAGATTAAACTCATCAAGGATAAGTGCACATCTGTTCACGTACCTCTAGGGCCCACTGATGCCCACTTTATCTTTCAAGGAAAAAAGCTCACTCAGAACAGTTTGAATTTGGCAACCAGTTCTTCAAGGCCTGGAGAGACTTCCTTAAGGGTTATCTGTGTGAGGCAAGTCTGGATTGGCCAGTACAGCAGCTATGCAGCTTCTGTGAAGTACCACAGCAGCTGTCATGACAGGGAGGTGTCAGGAGGTGCAAAGAGAGCAGTAGGGAGAGATGGCATGAGTCTAGAGTATTAATATAATGGCAGAGACAAGGAAATACACAGAAAAGCAAGATAACAGAAATATGGTCAAAATCCTTAAACAGGGCCAATTAGATGTGTGGTGGAAAATTGAATCTAGTCCTTGAGGGATCAGGAAGTGATTACTAAACAGTATTTGAAGAAGGGGACAGGTCTCCAGGCTGAGAAGTCAGAAGAGCATGGTAAGAGACTACAGGGTTTCATGGCTGCCATGGAGAACCAGTTGGTCAAGTGCTGGCTCTGCCTTGTAGATCTAACTTGACTTTCTTTCCTTCATTTTGGAGCAGATGTGTGATGTTTATAACCACCCTTTAGTGCTTTATGTCCACAGTACATTTGGATATTTTCATAGACTCACAGACTCCTTTGAAATGTTTTGACTTTGAAGAATGTTTTGTATTTGGATGATCTAACTTCAAATCATGCTGGTACATGGAAGGATTACAGGAAGTCAAGAATCCCAAGTAGAAAGATGGGGTTTTCTGTTTTGGAATTGGACTGTTCAGGCTGGGAAAATGGTTCAGTCAGTAAAGTGTTTGCCATGCAAGCCTGAGGACTCAAGTTGGAGTGCTAGCACACATGTGAAAAAGCCAGGTGTGATGGCACATGAAATCTCAATAGTAAATAGGAGGAGACAGAAGGAATCAAGCCAGGCTAGCCAATCTGTGAGTTCTAGGTTAGGTGAGAGACCATGTCTCAAAAAATGAGGTGGGAAGTTACAGAGGAAGAAACCTGCCATTGACCACACACACACACACACACACACACACACACAGGCACACATGGGCACACACACGGGCACATATACATGCACACAAAAAAATTGGAGTATTTATGGCTATTTATATAAAGTTCATATCTATCATTGAATACATCCCCCTTATGCTTCTGTCAGCAGAAAACTACACTAAAATGGACTAGGAATGCTTTAAGGGATACTGAGAGAGAGGAGTGTGTATTTTCTTCTTAGGGAATGTTAAAGAAGAACCTCCAAGGATGCAAAAGGAAGTCTAACAGTTGAGTACCTCCTACACTTTCCTCATCAGAGAACAGACAGGTGCACTAAAGACACCCGTGAATTCCTATCAAGTACTCAACACACCCGAAGTCAAGGGCCTGGATGCCAGCAGCTGCAGCAGCAGATTTTTCCTCTCTGATGATTAAGACATTTGAGCGACACAAAACTTGGCTTTCTTACATGATGTGATACCTCATGAGTTGTATTTTCCCCCTAATATGCTAGAGGGAAAAAAATAGCTAAGCGTTCTAAAATGACAGATCTCTATTTTTAAATGAGTTTGAAAAGCTGATTAAATTATGTGTTTTATTGCCTCTGTGAGTATCATATTAAATGAATGTTTTATTTTAAATGATTGAATAAATGAAAATAATTTTTGTAATGTCTGGTCTGTGGAGTTTTTGTGAATTCTGTCAAGATGTCCTCAGTGTTCAATTCTCAAGATATAAATAAGGTGGAGTTCCTGAGATCTTAAATACTTCTTTGAAAAGTGCCTGAAAGAGACTCCTAATTAAATACTCTAATAATTGGGTTTCCTACTGATACCAATTGAGGTTTTCCCCCCAAGAAAATCATACAGGAGCATTAATCAAAGGCTCTTAAAAGTGATGTGACAATTATTGCTAATTTAAAATAATAATAAAAGCACTTCATGGACTCATAAATAAAGCTTTCATCCCTCTATGAAATGGTGACATAGAGATATATACCTTTATGTATGCAGAGAGATAAAGGAAGGGAGAGAGGGAGGCAGGGCAAGAATGCTCAATTAGCTCATGCATTAAAATATCTCATCAATGCCAATGAGAAGAAATTCAGGGTATCAACCTATTTAACTCCTCAAACACACTCTCCTATTCTATGGTAATATACAGGAGACTCTCACTCTCTTCTAACAGGAAACAATTCATCTTCCTTAGAATATTTAATACACCCTTGTTTCTCAGTCCTTTAGCCCTTCAGTTTAGAACAGGAGTCTTCAAACTATGCCAGGAGTGCCCACAGGAATGCATCAAGGTAATGGGCTGTGCAGGCGTGGGTAGGTAATCAGCCTCCCATTCTGTGCCTGGCATGGTTATTATGATTTGCAAAAACAGCCCTCCCTGACATGTTCAGTACCCTGTTCTTCTCTCTCAACAACTTGTCCATGGCCAACATTCTCACCTTAAAGACAACGATGCCTTAGTCTTGTCCCTAAATTTAGCATACCTAAATTTGCTACAATAGATTGGACCAGGGTAGGAAAAAAAAAAAAACTTTAGCACCAAACAAAGCATTCAAAATATTGATATCTGAGGAAGGTTTCATATCTTCTTGCAATTATACACATATTTAAAGATTAGAAGGAGTTTTGGGGTCTGTGGTGGAATAATTTTAATATACAGATGCTATGAAGTGGGGTAAGAGTAAAGATATTCTCTTTGCCTACCAGCACTTCTGTTTCCAGAACACAGCTGCTCTAATCCTCTTACAATCCAGAAGCATCTCTTAAAAACATTAAAAGAAGACACCTGGATTCCTTTTCCTCCAAAAGACACAAAGCTGTGGCAAAGCTGAACCTTACTTATCTCTATTAGAATTGGAATTTAGATGTGAGAAGTTCACCACAGTGGCCTGCATGAACACATTTTTTTAGAATTGAAGACAGAAGTCAGATTTTTTTTTCTGACAGAAAAATCTAATTTTTGTAATTGTTTTGACAAGGAATTTTTAAAAATAAACGAGCTAAATCTACAGTCCTAAGGCAGTGTGTGTGTGTGTGTGTGTGTGTGTGTGTGTGTGTGTGTGTGTAAAATAGCATCAAGGCGGGTGAGGTGGCATGCGTGCAGTTCTAGCAGTTGGAAGGCTGAGGCATGAATTCGAAGTGAGCCTGGGCTACACAGTGAGTTCAAAGCCAGCCTGTGCTGTGCCCAGAGCAAGATTTTATCCAGAAATATAAAAGATATGATAATGTGAAAAGCATGTTACAAAGCAGTGGATCTAAATACATAAAGAGAGCTGGGAGGTGGCTCGGAGTAAGAACACTTGCTGCACAGGCATGAGGACCTGAGTTTGAATCCCCAGCACCCACATAAAATCCAGGCATGAATATGCATGCCTGTAACCCCAGCATGGGCAGGAGTGGTGGGGGTAAGACAGGCAGATCCTGAGAGCTCATTGGCCAGCCAGCCTTGCTAAAACAGCAAGTTCTAGGTTTATTAAGAGACTCTGTCAAGAGAGAATAAGGCAGAGACTGATAGAGCAGGAAGCCCAACATCTTCCAACATCCACGGACGTGCACATATGCGTATACATGCATACATCATGCCACACAAAAACACCACGAAATAGAATAAATCCAAAGTTTAGTAACAAGAAGTCAAACAACTTGATGGTTTAATGTGCAAGAATAGTTTAATAGAACATTCAGCCAAGAGTGGTAAGTGGAGCCAATAAGCATATGGCCATGGCAAATAAGCCCATGAAAAGATGCTCACCTCATAGATGGCTAGGTAAGCATGAACTAAACCACCATGAGGTATCATTGCATGCCCAGTAAAATAACTAGCATGAAACAACACCCATGACTGCAAACGATGGCAAGAGGCAAACAGCCACTCTCAGACTGCTGGTGGTGCAGCTGCTTTCAAAAACACTTTGCAGTGTCTTACAAGGCTAAACACACACCAGCCCTCAATCTCTTCTCCGTGTATTTCACCAATGTCACCTAA